GTGTCTGCAGATGAGCTTCTGTACTCACACCCTTGGAAAAAAAGAGAGCGAGAGAGTGTCTTAACTGGGCTTCTATGTGAAGATAAGAGGATGATTAATACAAAGACGATGGGAAGGTGGGAGATAAGGCTGAAGAATACTCACTGGAGATGAATGGGTGGAAGCATCGCGTTTGTGTGTGTTTGCTTACACAATCACAGCCCTGCTGATGCACTGTGTATTGTTCGCTTGCAGTCATCGTGACAGCGGTGTGTATGCATGCAAAAAGTGTGGCGGCATTTGAGGGCATCTGTGTGTGTGGAGGTGAGAAACGAATCTTGCTTGCAGCCCTGCTTATGATGGCCCTCTTTGATAGGTGTGTGTGTGTGTGTGTGAGCAGCACTGCGGCAGGCTGTGATTGATGGTGTGTGTTAGGAAGCTGGAGTCACAGTCATGGCTGAGAGACTTCCTATTCTGCTGAGAGCAGCACTATTACACACATGTTCCTCGCTCTCTTATTGGCTCCCATCTCTTTTATTTTCCCTTTAATTCTCTCCCTCACCTCTAATTATCTTTCTTTTCATTTCTGTGGCTCCTTTCCTCACTTCCTTTTTCTTTTTCTGTGAGTCAGTATACATTAGATTGTGTTTTGTTTTTTATGCCACCCTTTATTCTTCAACAGTATCCCAAATCACTCGAGAATGAGGCTGCTTATCATGTCACTAAGACCTTTCTCCAACCCAAATAATAGATTTCTCCCCCTCATCCCAAATGGGACTTTGTGCTGCAACATTTTTTTCAATTCACTGCATCCATTACTGTTGCCCCGTCTATCTGTTCGTGCTACCTTTCTGAAGACGAACGGCTCCTCGTTGTAGGCAGGGTTCAGTCCATTGTTCATCACCATGCGAGTGCGAAACTCTTTCCGGATGGTGTCCGTTGGCAGTCCATACATGTCGACTTCAACGTAGGTCCCGATTTTCTTGTCAGAGAGAAACTGTCCTGAGAACACCTAAAAAAGAAGCAGACCATTCTCAGTGCTTTGGAGAGGTGTTGATTTTACAGCAATATTATCTGCACAGGTTCATTCAGTGCACTGTGGGGTGGCTGTGGCTCAAGAGGTACTGCGACCGATATACTAATCAGAAGTTTGGTGATTCAGTCTGCATGCCAGTGTCCTTGGGCAAGATACTGAACCCAGAGTTGCTCCTGAATATGAATGGGTGAATGAGTCATGTTGCATAAAGCGCTTTGAGTCCTCTAGGAGAGTAAAAAAGCGTGATAAAAGAACCACTCCATTGACCACCGTAATTTGTACAGCATGCCACATCTAAGCCTGAAACCAACCTTCAACATGATATTATCTGTAGGTTTCACAGACATGGATGAAGCCTAGTTCCACTGAAAAAGGACTAGGCTGAATTGTTTACATAGTTCGCATACAGCATGTTTAATATGTCTGTCTTTACGTCAGCGTATACCCTTCTT